AATATTCCACTAACATTTCTCAGGACAATTTTTTTTTCTTTCCCATTTTCCATGGTATGAACCAAGGGCATAGTTTGGAATAACCTGCAGTTTCCAGAATATTTATGAAAAAAAGCCTCCTTATAAGGAAGCAATACAGAAGCTCTGCTGGGACAGAAGTCCTGTGGAATTGACGCTTGCCATTTCCAGTTCTGACTCAATCTCAAAATTCACCATAACACAGCACAAGATGCCTCCAGGATTTGAAGGGTAAGGATTCCTGACCTTGACACAATATAAAACACAGTAAAACCAAAAATTGAAACATATTTAAATAAATATAAGTAAACTTTAATAAACTGAGACAAGGAGTCTTCAAAAATCTGGCCTCAGAATTAAGCCTATAATCGGTCTCCCTGCTCGGCGGGAAGCCTGCTTCTCCCTCTTCCCCTCCCCCTGTTTGTGTTCCCTCTCTCGCTGTGTCTCTCTCCGTCAAATAAATAAAATCTTTTTAAAAAAAAATTAAGCCTATATTCTTTTGTTTGTTTGTTTGTTTTAAGATTACTGAGTATGAGTGTTTCTCCCTAATTATATAGTTAATTACCCTTGACTATTCCTAGTAATTTTTACTTTATTTTGTTTTATTTTATTTTAGTGCACTTCCAGAGAAGAATGAAACTTTGTGGCTGGGATTAAAACAAACTTGTACAGTCTATGGCTGTTTAAAATGTTAATTTATTATCAACATAACCTTCTTTTAATTTGGAGACTGACCACGTTATTTTAATACATGGGAGCATATTCACAAGTCAATCAGAACTTGCAAATATCATTATTTTCTTTTTCATGAAATAGCCACACAATAGGAATAAACAAACTGACAATAATATGTGTTTTAGACAAATTCCAGGATAAGCTAGAGAATCGTAGCCTGATATTTGACCTGCCAGTCTTCTATCCCTTGCACAGCTTCAATACTATAAGTGATCACCAATGTTTATCATGACAAGCCAAACATAGTGCAAGATGGTCAGTGCTTCAAAATTGCCACTATATTAGGAATCATTTTGGTTTAGCTGCATTTAATTGTTTTCTAATGGTTATGAGTCAGATGCCAGATAAATGCTTGTTTGATGTACAAAAGTATAGAGAACTACTTTATAATTCTAACGAAGTAAAATACTACTTATGACCTACAGGCCAACTATCAGAATGCATGTCATCATTATGTTTCAGGGGCCCAATTCACTCATGAATATTCACAGGAAGTATGTTCCAGTGAATTTCAACTTCTCAGATACCTGCTCCTATGCTCCAGAGTCTAAACCGGTCTCTACTTTAATTCCAAGCTTCCTTTTCTTAAGATAGTATGATCTCTTCTAGCTTCATGTTACATTATCCTCACACTCTATTGTTGCAATCAGGTGGACAATTTGAAGGTATCTGCTGAGTCCTAAGCAGGGCACTATCATTCAGGAAGGAAACACAGCATATAATGCGTGGAAGACTACTGCATCTTAGCAATGTGGTGTAACAGTTCAGTTGTTTTTAATTTTGTGGAATTTATTCTTGTTTTCAGAAATTATGTTAGACAATGTGAAAGAAATGAGATAAAATTGTATGAATCTTTACCAAGGTATAGACTGCACAACAAATGTAACAAATCATCTGACCCTGTTCTATCCTTTTTAGAAAAACCACAGACCACATTGAAAGTCATTTTGACATTCTAGTATTTCAATTATTTTTTAGGTATGTTAGAAGGCAGGTACACTGTAAATATTTTTATTTTACCTTAGTCTTCCTGAAGATTCCATGTCTCCTACAAAAGCTTTGGAAATGGTCCAATCCTTTGCAATAACCTGAAACTGACCTGCACCACACTGCAGTATAAAGAAACACTATTTTATTTATAGTCACGATCTCATACACATTTACTGTTGCTAGTCTCCTGAGGAGCACAGAAAACTGTCCTACAAATTTCACACAGGAGAAAGTATACATCAGATAACTTCCTACTTAGAATCTTTTTTTTAAATGCATAACTCACTTCAACTCAACAAATATCAACTAGCAATAACTCTAGATCACGTGCTATTATAAATATAACATAAGACTTAGTCTTTTTGTTACACAAATTAGTTATTTCAGAGGTCTTTACAAAATTTTTTCAAAATTCGATTAAAAAAATCTTGCTTTCCCTTTTGGGAAGTTGGAAATAAGCTGTTTCGAAATAAAGGGAACATTTTCTTCTACCTCATTTCTGGAATTTCCCTGGGTAATCCTGGACGTTCCCACCTATTGTCTCTTTAAAACAATGCTATTTTACTTTCTTAAAACAATGCTACTTAAAAAAAAAAAAAAAAAGATTGTTAAAAGCCAGGCAATTCACAGAACAACTCAAGGAAGGTGGTCAGAATTGTGATCAGAAGTGCAGTCTTCTCAAGAGACCCAGGTTGTTTGGTCTGGCAGGATGAGAGCAGGATCTGACTCACAGAACGGGAGAGGCGTGGGGACCGAGAATTTGGCATGTGGCAGATCCACCTAACAGAACGGTAGTATGGGAAACATTGAGGGAAGGTGGCACAGACTTTGTGAAAATTCAAGTCAGATAAGAATTGAGGCTGCAGAGTGTAGAAAGGAAAGGGATTCAGACCCAAGGTAGGAAAGGGGCTGGTGACATCCTGATACTAGAGGAAGAAACTGCCAGAAACCATCCTACATGCTTCAGAGCAGTTCTTATGCATATATCTCAACGATAGAAGTTTACAGAATATGTCAGGAGGATAGGGCTGCTTATCCACTAGTCCTTGTTACTGATATACGCAGATCTGATTTTTTTTTCTAAGAATATAGGAAGAATTTTAGACAAGCTCTAAATAACTTGTATGCCTTCTGATCTTGACATAGTATAACTTCTTGATTATACCTGTTTGTTTCCAACCGTAGAAGTAGAATTCATAATTTTTAGCCTATAGGTCCAGATAGAGTATTTTTACAGAACATAGCTTCTCATTTTTAACTTCACGTACATGAAATTTTAGTGTTTAGGATTTTTGTGTAGTTTTAATACAAATACTTTTATATGCCAATTAATAAATCATCTCTCATTGTAGATTTCCAAGGAGATAGATTTTCATTACTGGTAACCTATCCTTTATATGAAAGAATAAGACAGAAAACTAAAACAGTTTCTTTAGTAAATCTGGAGTAATCAGCTTCCCATATAGATGAGAACTGTAAGTGACTTTCATCTTAATTAGGCTTATAAATCAGTGTGAATATTAGTTAACTTATAAAAATAAGTGAAAAAAGTCTGATATACATGCACGTCTCTGTGAACGCAATCTGCCTCTCTAATGATATCTTTGACAGACCCTGAGATATATTTAAATATAAAATTTCCACAGCACCCATTTCACTGTAGCTCAATAAATAAAATGTCAATCTAACTGACATATGGATTATGTTCCTTCTTGGATAGTTTTTTTTTTTTCAATTTTGATATACACAATAATTGGTTTGCATGACCCTACAATGTACATCTCAGATGGGAAAAAAATTAAAAGCTTCTTAAAGAGGAATTGTGGTCAAAAGATGGCATTTCATGGGCCTTTAAACTTTGCCACCTGATAAAAAGTAGAGTGAGATCTTTGCAAGTAACCAAAATAAGGAATAGACCTCTATTCCCCCTCAATAGCTAACTCTATAAGTTTCTTAGCTTTATGATTCCTTAGGTAGTAATTTGTCTTTTTATTTACCTAAAAGAAATCAGAGTAGTTCTCAACTTAGAATTATAGGGAACAGGTGACTAAAGAGTAAAAACTTGTTAAAAAATATTCACTTATATTGTAAGATTTCAACAGTCTGAGAAGCCTCTCTAGAAAACCATAAGATCAATAAGCTTTCTCAGTAACCGTAAAAGTCTTTTACAATTGTTCCAGAGATGTTTTCAACGAACCAGATGCATCAAAAGTCACCATTCACAGAACTAAAAATACACCAATGTTATGACAACCAGCTCCTCATGATTCATAGTTCTGGTAACATTCTCAAGTTCCATGAAATATATTTAGCTTTGAACTTAACTGAAACTACCTTACCCAAGACCCTTTCATAATTTTTTATGTCTTTCAGTCTGAGAAAATAATTTTGATTGAGGAAGTGGAAGAGTTCTTCTCTGCATTCTTCTGTTATAATGTAGATGAAATAAGAATATAATTTCTCCTCCATTAAAAAGCAACAGAACTCCAAAAGTCTACCAACTGACATGTCTGAACATTTTCCACTTGCTTACAAAAGATGAAAAATCACATCAGACAGGAAACACATTCTTTAGATTAGTGACAGGTGTAGAACGAGCATACCAGTCAGCCTTTATTTTCAGTGTCAGTAGGCATGCTCAGCGGCAGAGGGTACAACTCTTCCTTTTCATTGAAGTGACACACATCATATTATTCTTTCATCTACACACCACCAAGCAGAAAAGTTCCCAAGCAACAAAACTATTTGATCTTGGTTGAATGCCAGGCTATTCTTTAAAAATAAAACCTCAGTACTAAGGAGACAGATGATGATGATGGTGATGGTGATGGTGATGGTGATGATGATGATGAACCTAGTTTAAGAATTGCATTAGGGGAGGGAGGAAAAGTTGTCTCCATTCTCATCCTCATTTCTCCACAGAATAGTAAACTTACTCAAGAGGCGAAAAATTTAGCAGCTTTATTTAGAAGTTGAATGATTTAGATTGCAGCACAATATTAGGGTTCAGGAAGCATTTAGAGCTGCAGTAGAAACTAGGTGTTCACAAAGTAAGAGTTTCAAAGGTAGAAATAAAAGCCTTTCTCCCACCCCTTAGGATGCCCACCAGAACCTCATTTTGTAGTTCCAGTTTCTCTTTTCCCCCAGCCAAATAAACAAACACATCAAAGCTTTAAAACCATGACACTACTCAGGGTAAACTCTGGAAAATGGGAGAGTAAAAGAATCCCTAGGACAAGTTTGAATTTAGGATTTACCTGCTCTGATCCCAGTTGGCTGCAAAAAGGACTAGAATCTTCCTGCCATAGTGGTCCAGATTGGCCAGGCCCCCAGGGAAGCCATCCTTCAGTGCCTGCTTGATGCCAGGGTCAGTGGCCTTGAAGCTTTTGAACATGTCCAGGTTCTGCTGCCGGTACTCAAAGTACTGGGCCAGGAGGCGGAAGGCCTCAAAGTGATGAAACTTCCTGGCCCGCAAGAAGCGTAAGATGAAGGCATCATCTGTGCGCAGAAAGCCAATGTCCGGCCTGGTGATGACCATATCCCTCACCTCCTGGATGTCCTGGTGCAGTGTGTCTGGGTTCTCGTTGAGCTCCAAGCGAGCTTTCTCCAGGGTCTCAGGAGAGAGACCAGCTTGTAAATGAGTCATTGTTCTGCTTATTCCTGAACCTTCCCTTCCTCTTGCTGACTGTCCCACAACAAACCTGGCCTTTGCCACCACCACGCGCTGGCCTCCGGACCTCACTGCAGCCTGCTTCCTCTTCTGCACAGGAAATTATTTGTCTTGGTGTCCAGACTAGTACCCTGTTGCTCCTGCTTCCCCGCAGCTTTTTTCTGGGGGGTATAAACTTCTTTTCCCACCCCTTAAAAACAACGCGTCACTTTGGTTCCTTCTTCCCTTTCCTTTAAAGAGATGTGGACCTCTGGCGGGCCCAACACTCCTTGTCCTTCCTCAGTCCTAACAAAACACCCCTAAGCCCACCCTGCACGCTTGGCACTGATCTTGGTACTGTCCTCTTCTCTTCCAAGATGTAACAAAAACAACCCCCACGCACATCTCAGCCCCAGCTCTGTGATGCTTCTGCGGTCCCTACTGAAGGATGCGCCTGCCAGGGATAACGATGGGAATTCTGATTAATAATAAGGTGGCTCTTCAGCGCTGAGCTCCAGGGCGGGGAGAGAGCGTCTTTGCCAGAAAGAAAAAGAGAGAAAGGGAAAGAGGGGGGAAAGGAGCTTATTTTTCCTTCTGCTTATTCAAAGATGCTATTTTTAAAAGACATTTGTAGGATTTTGTTTAAAATGATTATGATCCAATTAGGTGGAGACTCTGCAGATAGCGCACCTTCCCTCCTCCCCTCCTAGATACACCGTGATCTCAGAAGGCACCAGAAGGGTTTCTGGTGGCGTTGGCACCAGCGTGGGCTTCCCCCCTTCCAGCCCCACCCGCAACTTCTGCCTTCCTCTAGCCCTTTATTTCAACGGAATTATGGGGGGGGGGGGTGCAGGAAGGAGAGGGATCTCTCTCACAATATGCGTTTCAAATGCGAGGTTGGGGGCGGGCGGGGCGGGGGGGGGGAGAAGGTAGAGGAGTGGAGAATAAAATTAAAATGTCTCTACCTTTTCTATGAAACCCCAAAGCAAGAGAGAAGAGCAGTGGGCTCCTACCAGCAAACCCGGAGGCGGGGACGCTAAGCAATGCGGCACTCCCTGGCATCCATCAGCCCCGGCTTCGGCGGCGGCGGCGGCGACAGCAGCAGCAACTCCTCTCGGTGGGATGGCACGAGCAGAGAAGAGGGGCGGCAGCTGGGACCCGGGCCGAAGACGCGCTGGGGAGCAGCCGTGACCACATCGTCCGCCAGCAGCCCGCTGCCTCTCCCAGCAGGAGGGTGGGGGTGCGGGGCTAGGGCCGCCGGCGTCCCAGGTCCTCGCCTGGCCCTGCCATTCGCGTCCCCGGGAGAAGAGAAGGGAGGGAGCGCGGTTCCAATGCCTGGATGGAGAAGGCCACGCGGGCGGCCGCCGCCTTTGTGCGCCCGAGCGGCGGGCGGTGGGCTCGGCGGGGCTGCTGCTGGGGGCGCGGGCCTCTCCCCGAGCGCGCCGGGCGGCGGGAGTCAGGCGCGCCCCTCCGGGCTGAGGCTGCCGCTGCGGCTCCGGCTGCCGCGGCTGGAAGAGGACTCGGCTCAGCCCAACTCCTCTCTAATTATCCCAGCACAGATCTGGCGGCGACGTAAGCGCTCGCTCAGCTCGCGCACGCACCCCGCTCCTCTCGCCCCGACTCGGCCGGGTAGGACGGCAATTTCCGCGGCACTCAAATACCCTGAGCCCCAGGTTTAGCCTTCTCCCCGTCGGCACTCCCGGGCAGGCTACCCGAGCGGGCATCACCTGGCCAGGCGGGGCTGCGACGCCTTGCAGTCTCCCCACGCCCCTCTCTCACCCTTTGTGTGCAAGACCCCAGAGCGGCCGGCGAGCAGCCTTTGTGGAGGGTAATTCACGTGAACACACGTTTTCTAGGTCCCATAGGAGATCATTTTGATGTGCAAAGCGTACGGAAATGTTTTGTGCTTGCTGCATTTGTAGTTGACAGAAATGTTCAATTTAGAAAAGAAGACCAGAGTGGGTTCAAAGAATTGTGTTGATGACTAAACCTCCGGAGGAACTTATATGAATAGTATTTCAGCCATAACGTCTGGCTGCTGAATTACTGTTGAAGAGAATGGAAATGAGCACCGGGGCCAAAAACACAAACAGTCCCAGAGGAAGGAAAAATAGACACCCCTCGACTCATTTCTCTTCTCGTAATAAAGCAACTATTTCTGGAGTTGCAATCATTCCCTTTAGTTTTATACATCTGTATACCGGAACCATCCTAAATGAACAGGAGTCTTTGAGCTTCACATGACTGTTTAAGGGTTTGAAGAAAAGGAATGTTTTCTCTTTTCAAAGCACAGCATGTATTACTGAGCCTGTCACCAAGAGCAACTTTGGCTTACAAACTAGAATGGGGTCTTAAGTTCAAGTCAACACAATGCAACAAATATTTCCTGTGCTCCACTGTGTGGGGGGTATCGTCTTGGGTTCTATGGATAGAATAGGCGGTCTTGAAATAAGAAAATCTTGTCATCCTTGATGACCATTGGAACACTCAGATTATAGGCACACACTTTTTGTTGTTCTTTAGCAATGGTGTTCACAAAAAGAGAAAAAAAAGAAGAGGGATGGCAGACCTCTAGCATTTTATTAGTTAAATTAATGCAAAGTTTAGTAAGAACCAGAATAAGAGAATACGTCACACACATACACACACACACAGGGTCATTATTCCTATGGAATTTACGCTTTAAGGAAGGCAGAAAATTATACACACACACACACACACACACACAAGGTCCTTCGAGGGCTTCATATAATTATGACTCTTCAAAAGCATTTTGAACGTAATATGAACTATTAAAATAATTTGGTTCACAGTTCAAAAATTTTTGAAAAATTTATTTTTGGCCAATATTCTAGAACATGAAGAAAATTTGTGTCGTGTGAACTGTACGAAAAGGTTTTATAAAGAGGTTTCACCAATATCGAGAGTTCTCCATTGATTTCTTGTGTTTCTGAACGTCTTAGGAGCAAGGCAAGAACTGCCTTTTTCCCAGACTCTCTGTTCAAGGCTGTGTGTACAGTGTTTATGGTGCACAGCCTTGAAGGAGCATCTGAAGCTAGAGATAGTACCTCCATCTGAATGAAAGGTTTGCTTCGAGCTTTGGAAGGTAGAAGTAGTATCTCCCTTCTGAGCAAAGGGCCGGCAGGTATATTTTGGTTCCCTGATCTCAAAGCTACTGTCCTGTGATGCCACCCACTAGGTGTACCAATGACATCTGACCCTCTTCTCTTAGGCTGGTGGGGATCAGGGCTCAGGAAACAAGCATAAAATATGCTGGTGCTTAGACTGCTTCTGTGCCTAGGTGATAAAGTTGTTTCTCTCTAACCCAAGGGTTTTGCAACTTCTACGGCAGACATGAAACGCTGGCTAAGTGAGCTGCTGGCTTGCAAGGAGGGTTACATCTTAGACCTACAGGTGCTTAAAAACCAATTACTTAATTTTGTTCTCTGAGATGGAAACAGTAGACCATATTTTTAGAAAGGAGTTAAAAGATAAAATTTGTGGGTCCTAGGTATGGTGTGACCTGTATTTAGTGATGGTGTTTTTAGTCTTTATCAATGATAGATTTGCTTCAAATAAGGTTCATTTTAATCTATCAATATATGATGTAAATCACCTCTATCGTGTAGTAGGTTTGTTGGAGTAGGTCAGATGTGTGTGTGTATATATACATATATATAGGAAATATTAACAAACTATTAAGTCCTTACTTCAATAATTTTACCACTATTCTCTCTCTACTTTAACATTTGAAATCAGTTCTGAAACCAAAATAAATATACAGAGTATTCTAAGAATTAAACAAGGTATTTATCCAGATGACTTCAAAGCATTTGATTCCTATTCAACATTAATTTACTTTGCCCAATTAATGCAAAGTAATGTAGGAACTAAATAGGAGAATACATTAACTAAAAAAAGGATTCATTAAAGTATTATTGGAAAAATAATTAAATTAAGGACTTCTGGTGTTTTCAAGGAACCTGAAAGCAGTTTGGTTTACTGCAATATTTAAAGTGGACAGAATAAGTAATTTACATTTCAAAACATCTTATCCCATCTACTGTTAAATAAAATATACATACAGAAAGGGGCACAAAACAAGATGTACAGCTCTATGACATATTACGAAGCAATCACTTGTATAAATACCCACCTAGATTAAGGAATAGAACACTGTTAGTGCCCACAAAGCCCCTCCTTCCTCCCCTCCTAACTACTTGCCTTGCCTCCCAACAAAGGAAGCCACACCATCTTCATTTTGAAAATAATCATTTCCTTGTTTTTCTTTAAAATTTTCCAACCAAATGACTATGCACTATAATTTAGTTTTTCCTGTTTTTTTAAACTTAAATGAATGTAATCATTCATTGTAATTTTGTGATTGGCTGCTTTCATTCAATATTATGTTTGTGAAATAGGAGTCTTTTTCCCTTAGTTCATCCATATTCAGTGATGATGCATGGAATTCCATTTTATAAACAATATACTTATATGTTCTACTGCTGGTGGAGATTTGAGTTGTTTTTCTATTTATGGCTGTTATGAGTCATGATGTATAAACATGCTGATCTACATCTCTTGGTGCACATGGACATATGTTGGAATGAAAGTGCTGGGTCATATGGGATGAGCATCTTCAGATTTACTAAATGACGCCAAACTACTTTCCAAATGGGTGTGCTATTTCCCCCTCCCTGCAGAAGTATATAAGAGTTCTCACATATCTCACTCTTATCCATCATTTTAACTTTATCCCTTCTGATTTTGAACAAGTGTATCGCATGGTGGTTTGGGTGTAATTTCCACAATTGCTAATGAGGTTGGCCATTTGTATAAACTTTTTGTGAAGTGACATTGCTCTCTTAATAGTGTCTTTTGATTGGCATAATTTTAAATTTTAATATAGTTCAATTTTTCTTCAATGAGTAGTGTTTTCTGGGTCCTGTTTAAGACTGTCTCAAGGTCACTCAGATATTCTCTGATATTACCTTCTAGAAGTTTTATTGTTTTTGCCTTTCATTTAAACCTACAATCCACCTGAGACTGAGTTTAGTGCATGGCATGAGAAAGGGATGGAGTATTTTTTATATGAATATAATGAATATAATATGGCTCAGCACCATTTTTTGAGACTGTTTATTGACAAGATGATCTTTTTTCCTATTGAACAGAAGAGCTACCATTGTCACAAAATAATTGTTCATATGAGTATAGATTTAATTCAATATAAATTTTAAGTCCCACAAGACACCATTGTTCTATAAACCAGTGTTCCTCAGTGGTTCTCAAAGTAAGCTTCAGATCAGCAGTATTAACATCACCTGGGAACTTGTTAGGACTATAAATCCCCACCTCTGACATCCTGAATCAAAATCCCGGTATGGGATCTCATGGTGTTGTTGCCAGCCTTTCACATGACTCTAATTTACATTAATGTTTGAGAATCATTGCCCTAGATTTACATACATATTTATCCCTTTCATTGTTCTTTATTCCTTCTTGT